GACAAAATAAAATGGGTCATATCATATTTTCTAATGGGTCGGGTTAGGTGGGTGGATCACTAAATCTTTTAAATGGTATTTTTATTTTTTTAAATTTTGGTTTGTTATATAAATAATTAATATCAATAAATTTTAATTAAAAATACAATTTAATAGATTGAGTGACTTTTTGAGGAAAGAGTGTATTGTTGAGTGGCTTTTGAATTAAAATTCAAAGTTGAGTGACTTTTGAGAAAGAAATGCATAGTTGAGTGACTTTTGAGTGAAAATTGAAAGTTGAATGACTTTCTGAGAGAAGAGTGCATAGTTGAGTGACCATCTGAGATATTAACTCATTTAAATTGTACAATAGACACATTTTACTTATCAACAATAAAAGTAAATCATCAATGAAAAATTATAATATATTGTAGATAATTTCATATATATATATTCAAAAAAATATGTAAATTCATCCTCAAACTATTTGAATTGAATGGAGAGTGCAACATAAATTTTCTTAGGGCATCTCCAGCCTACATTCTATTTTACTCTCCAAACATAGAGTTCTCTATTTTTTCAGACAGTTAACTTCAACTCAATTCTTTATTTTAACGATGACATAAATATTATATAAATACTCAATTTTTGAAATTATTACGCTGCTCCCATAAATGCTCTACTAATGCATTACGGAGTTAAAAATGAGAAATTTTTTTCCTTAATTTTATTATATCTAGCTAAAAATTTGATCAAATCGGAGATTTACATCTACCACCATTTTTTGTCGTTACAGTTGGAGCATCTACGATATCTTGAATTGGTGCATTAAGATCACGACCTCAATTATCACGTTGTGTAGTATAATATATACATTCATTATATCATGTAACACTTTCTTTCTCTAAAAACGTGATGGTCTTGCAATAATTGCAAAACTCCGAATGCACGTTCCACATCTTTTCGATATGATTCTTGTTTCATCGTGAATTGATTATCATGTTATACATTGTATTTTATCTTGTTTTTAAATTATTATGTTATGTATAGTATTGCTATTTGCATTTAAATTAATTTTTTCATTTTACCATTTTGATCTTGTGTAATTTTTATAAGGAAAATTAATAATGAAATAAAATTTTATTATCGGTGAAAATTATCTAAAATATATTATTTGAAATTAAAGTAGTATATATTAGATGATATATTTTTTTAAATAGTATATTACATTAAAAAAGAATCGTAAATATTAGATATTTAATTGTTGAAATTATATGTAAAATAATATTTTAATTGAAAAGTAATGAAAATAATAATAAATTATTGAAAAAGTAAAATAGAACATGAATAATAGTTCTTCAAATTTAGAGAACTGCTATTCACCTCTCTGTAAATGGAGTATAGATGTTATATCGACAGGGATTGAAGAGTGCATTCTCTATTTTACGCTCCAAATATAGAAAATAGAGAGTAAAATAGAGGTGCATTGGAGATGGTCTTACAAAGCAATATGTTCCGTTTCGTGATGTTATCTTAGTAAAAAGAAGTGGTAACCATCAAATTAGCCGATGATAATTTTTTTCTCTATTTTAATTTATACTACTTACTTTTTTTTATGGGTCCCAAAAAAAATGATACATTTCTATATGACATAATATATAAACATGACTTTTAACTTGTCTTCAACAAACAACTATACCCTCCAACTTTAAAGGCTTAAGTCATCGATAGCCACTTAAAGTTGTCCGCAAATTTCACTTAGACACCTCTTCTTAGGCTTGTTCCGATTGAACACTTAGACAACAAAATTTTTTACCTATTAAACCCTTTTTGCTGACATGGCAAAGCGTTTGTAGTACACACAAAGAAAGGAGCGTGAAAGCATAACTTTTCAATAAAAAAAAAGATCTTATATCTTCTTCGTCTTTGAGAAAGCTCATCACCATTTTCCATGGCAAGGTGCAACCATCACCGCTCATATTTCTGCAACCATCACCACTCATAATTCTTTCTCCTTCTTTTTCGATTTTCAGCCATTCTCTTTCTCTAATACACCAGTTTATTAAATCGGTTGCTATCATCCACAAGTCTACCATTGTCAAACAACCTTAGCCTTTCAAACAACCAACTACACATTCAAATTACCCACCGTAAGTTTTTCAGCCGTAAAAAATGTTATCTCTGCTGCCATCAAAAGTATCTAATCTTGTTCATCTATTTTGTCAAATTAAACCCAAACATAAATTAAATAAAAATCTTAAAACAAAAGAAAAACAAAAAAAGGAAGAAGATGAAACAGAGATTCCTTTTCTTTGAAATGAGATGTTAAACAAATTTCATTAAATAAAGATTAAAAAAATTAAAATAACGAGCAATTAGTGATAAATCATCTTTTTACTTTACTTTAGTGTTCATTATTTCCGGCAAACTCCATTTTTTGGGGCAAGAATAATATGAATTTGAAATAATTCTTTGAAATTGTTAATTTATTTAAATTTTAAAGAACTGACAACACAAGAAGAAAAAAGAACATCAATAAATCTAAATGAAGTTTGAGGGTAAGAGTAAGATTTAAAAATGGTAGTCCATGGTGTATTTGGGGAAGGTTATGGAGAAGAGGAGAAAGGTAATGGTGATTTTCTTTTTTTTATTTCTAAAAAAATATATAATTTTTCCTTATTATTTTTTTAGTTATTCTAGGTCCAATACCACGTGTCTTTTTTTAATTAGTTACTATGCCACATCACCAGCAAGTGTATAACACACTCTTATTTCAGCTTATTGTCTATAAAGTGTTTGATAGGTAAATTTTTCTATTAGTACGGGGGTTCAATTGGAACAAGCCTAAGAAGAGATGTTTAAGTGAACTTTACGAACAATTTTAAGTGGCTATCGATGATAAAAAGAAGTGGTAACCATCAAATTAGCCGATGATAACTTTTTTCTCTATTTTAATTTATACTACTTACTTTTTTTTATGGATCCCAAAAAAAATGATACATTTCTATATGACATAATATATAAACATGACTTTTAACTTGGTTTCAACAAACAACTATAGCCTCCAATTTTAAATGTACACAAATATTTTACATGGCATAATAATGCACATCAAAAGTTAAAAAAACTGATGTATTATTTTTTCTATATCAAGTAACAATTTAACAGTGAATTATCTATTTTATCCATCTAATGAAATAATTTAGAAATAATTTACAATTTATATTGCTATCTCACATGAAATGAAATGGAGTATCAGGATTAAATTTGTGGATTGAATTAGGAGAAGTAGGTGTAGATCAATTAAATATTTAACTTAAAATTGTGACAAAAATCCACAAGGATAATCAGTTTAAAATTGTTGATACTTTAAGAGAGATTCAGCCATTCTTTGATAATAGTAACTCAAAATGTGTTCATAGAACCATAAAAACACAATGTCATTTTAGACACCTAAACACCAAAACTGATAATCCAATGTTTTAATCAAAAACTTTAGAAGCAACAAAATGAAGCTAACAAAAGATGAAATCAACAGAAAATTGTACTACTATATAGTAACGCCCAATCTAATCGAAGAGTGAGAATCCCATATCGTCGTCACTCTCTTCTTTCTCTTCCTTCTTCTCCTCAGCTGGAGCTGCTTCTGCAGCTGCCCCACCACCTGAAGGAGCTGCTGCTGCTGCTCCACCACCAATGAAACCACCGCCGCCGCCACCACCAATGATCACCTATACAATGTGCAAACAAACAGTACAACTTATCATCCCTCTATATTCAGCAAACCTGAAAATATACAAATTCAAAGGCAGTCGAGGCTGCAACACCCTGCCCGTGCTTAATATACTAAGATGAACGCGTTATCAGGCCAGAAGAACGTGAGACCCGTGTTATTTCATTCCAAAATAAAGTCTATGAACAATTCAGAAACAACATTCAAATATGAAACTGGAAAAATCAAACAAAGTTTAGTAAATCAATGCAGTTTGGGGATCTCAGACATCCAAGGAAGGATAAAAGCAGCATTATCTCTCAAGCCTGGCGAAGGCGAAAGATCTTAGGCGGCCACTGCGAATGTTTAGAGAAACAAGCCTTCAATTGTATCATCACAGAATCCCCCAATATAAACACTAAACCAGTAACACACAAGTCAAGCAACAAACAGATGATCAAATTCCAGTGTAGTCCCATTTCTGTTAAAAATACTAAAACAACAAACCAAATAGCCAATCAGCTTTCGTTTCTTCTTATTCAAAATCCCTAAAATTGCACACGAGGAATTCATACACTACAGATAAACCAACATATTCCGATTCACAGTTCCTCTGATCATTCAATCTACACATCTCAAATTCAAAATCTTTCAACACTAGGTAAAATACCCAGATCCAGAATATTCATAAAAATAAAACAGACCCATTAAATTCTATACCTGGAAAACAGCAGAGGAAGGTGTAACAAAGGAGAATGATGACTGAACACCACCAGAAGAGTCAGAAGCAAGAGCAGCTTTAACAAGCTTGCGTTGAAGATCATAGGTACAAGAAGCAGATGCTTCTAGATCACCCTTGAGTTGCTTAGCACTCCATTCGTCTCCTGAACCTTTGCAAACGAAGGTGAAAACTCCCATTTTTGCTCTTCTCTTTCTCTCGAGCTTTTTGATGATAACAGAGGCGTCTGCAGCTGTGTGTAAATTGGGGGGGTTTTGTAGGAGGAGAAACCCTAGGGTTGTTTACATGTATTTGAAAAGACTAATATGTCCTTCTGAGCTGAAAATATTAACTATCTTGTCCTCGTTAGTTTTCATCCCATCACCAATTTATTTGATCAAATAAAAAAATTATTATATTCTTTGTTATAACCGAAAATACAATTAATATTGTGAATAAATTGAAATTTTCTATTTGGAATATATATATATATATATATATATTACTCTTTATTTTGAAATTTTTTATAAGATGGTCTCACCACGACTCATGATATTTTTAGGTATTTAGAGGCCAGGAAATAAACAATTTCTCTAGTGTGTTAATTCATGAATATTTTGATAATACGATTTTAAGGAGTTTTAAAAAATAAAACTTTACGAGATCATTTGTAATGAGTTGGAGAGCAGTACGTATGGTCTCACCATGATTCAAAATATTTTTAGGCACTTACGATCTATTTCGTGTTAGCCCATTAATATTTTGGTCATATGACTTATGATTTCCCAACGGTTTTTTTTCTTTTTTAAAAAAATAAATTTAGGAGACTCTCTTTAATGAGGTGAGAAGTAGTACATATGGCTTCACCAGAATTCACAACATTTTTAGGCGTTTAGGAGTTGCTTAACATGCAATAGATGGTTCTCTCAATTTTTCATGTGTTGGTCAATGAATACTTTAACGATGTGACTTCCGAACAATTTCTTTTTTGAGGATTTTTTACCAGATACTTGATTATGTGATGTTAACTTGAGACGTAAGCAAAATAATCGAAACACAATGTGACGTCAACTTGAAACGCAAGCGAACTGATCCAAACATCACCATTTATGGAAAAAATATAAAAGATATAATATCTTATCATACTTCTATACTTCTAGCGTATTTGTTTGGAAGTTTTCAATTGATCAACTTTGTGTTTGATCCAATTGGTAATTTCAAAGACAAAGAAGATGAAAACAATAGAAGAAATAATAGCAATGTAGGTAGGTTTCCATGTCTCTTCTTCTTGCAATATTTTGATGCCTTTGAATATGTTAACACAAATCACAATCAACAATGCATAGCCAAGAGAAAGATGATACATACTCCAATATGTGCGAAGTTCATCATTGGTGTGGGGCTTTAATCTTAGTGCCAATGTCTGTATATACACATTAACCAATTAATTAATTAGTAGTGTACATTACATTGTCATTAACATTATAATGAAAATAAACAATATCATAATTAAGTGATGGATCAATTCATGAATCATGGGATAATAGTACATCATATTAAATTTTTCCTAGTTTGATCAATTTATGTGAAGATATTTGAATAGAGGTAATGTTTAAGAGAAAAAGAAAAACATATGAAACTTATGCTTATATTAAACCGTAAAATTTATGCGACTCTAAATAGGAACATTATGTGACTAACACTACTAGATTCAAAGGTTTTTTCCATCGCGAATCAATGAAAAACTTGTTTTTATAGAATATGATTTTCCTACTTATTTTTCATTGAATCAGCTCATTGAAAAATTACATGATGAAAAAAAAATTTCTCACTAAAACTACTTATTTTTTATTGAATCAGCTCACTGAAAAATTACATGATAGAAAATAGATTCTCACTAAAAATACATAGTAAAACCTTTCGAATTTTTTACGAAAATAAAGTAATATTTTTTATTCAATAAAAATATGCAAAATATTTATCAATGGAAAAATAGTACTACTACTACTAAAGGGAAAGAGTAACACATAAATTGAGACAACATAAGTGGTTAGAGAATAGATAGTTTTACTTGTAGGGTGGCAAATGTGAAGATGCAAATACCATAAGCTCCATGTTTGGGAAAAGAGTAATATTTGGAATAATTTCCAAGCCAAATGCCAATTACCCAACCAGTTGCACCCAAAATATATCCACATGCTTGGCATGTCTTATGAGCATGTTTCCATTGATCATGTTCATTCCAATGTATTGGTCCCTTTTTGAAATACCTAGCTATTATCACCCCAATAGGTAGTATTGTACCCCAACCTATAATGCTAAATATTCCATGAGCCTGCAAATATTAAAGTAATTTAATAGCTTAAATCAATAGTATTTGATATATATGTACATATAGGATGTCATGCATGACAGAAATTGACTACGTAGGATGTCACTTAGGACTCATATGCACAACCAAATAGTTTAAAATATTGTGTTCTTATGAGTATAGGAGTTCAACAAATTGATAAGTAGGAAAATCCAACTTAAAAACGGAGCCAAGTACAAAAATCTCCTAAATCATCCGCCTTACATAAAACCAATTCAACTCACATATCATGGTTAAGTAGCTTAATAAAGTTTATATATTAATGTATGTATTAGCTTGATATAAATATCTTATATGAATAAGGTTTTACCCTGTTTGAAGGACATTACATGCATGCAATGAAAAAAAATAAATCAAATTATTGATGGCTTAAAATAAATTTGCACTATCAGATCAACTAAAAGATTATTAGTAGACTATTACACGAATTAAGTTCATGAAAAGTTATGTGTATAACCACATGCATGGTAAAATACAAAATTAATAATGTAACATTATTTTATATATAATGTTACGTGTGTATATAAGTTAAATTCGAAAAAAAAATATAGAGCATGACTTACAACTCTTGCTTGATGGCGTCTAGCAGATCTAATGCTTATAGATGTGCCAGTCTGCAAATCAATGATCTCTGTGCTATCATAATTTCTGATTGTTTTTTCATGAATTTTTGGTTCCATTCCAATTGCAACTTTTCCAACTTGCCAAACATGATTAATTCTTGAAATATTAACTGTTTGAGGAAGATATATAGTGGCTTCTATGGTGTGATATTGAATATGACCAAGACGACCAAATATCAAATTGGTTACATTTAAATTAATTGGAGTTGGTAAAAGATTGCACCCTATTTTAATATATTGTGTCACATTGTATGTGTTACCAAGAAATGAACCATTTGTTTGTTTGATGCCAATAAGTGCTTGAGTCCCTACCATTCTTGGTTCTGGTCCAAAGTTCAAACCCCAAGCTAACCATCCGGTTTTACTATCTAATCTTGCTCCCACCAACACCTGTTGAAACAGAGATGAATTCAGAATTTAAAATCAGTAAATTAATAGCATGCATCATTGAAAATTCTACATAGGGGATTGAAAGTAATGCAAGAATACCATACTTGAAATTTAATTTGAACATGTAACCTGACCCCACTTTTGAATCATTTTTATCATTATACTAGAAACTTCCCACAAACCAAAAGGATTCAACAAATTTATGTATATATATATAAAAAAAAAATCACCCCAATAATGTAATTTTCTAACAAAGGGGTTTGATCGATTCTTAGGGTATTAACAAGAAAATTCCTATAATGATTTTTTTAAAAAAAAATAGTAAAAGCCATATTAGACAAAAATGAATTTTGAAAGAAATAGGGAAAATCCAAAAAAAAAATGATCGAATCTTCGAACACTGCAATCCAAAAAAAAAAAGTTGATCAACCCTTTGGAGTGGCCCAATGATTTAAGCTTGAGACTTCCATATTGGAAGTCTCAAGTTCGAAATCCCTCGTCAACAAAAGCAAGGGGTTTGCCTTCTGGGTCAAGCTCGTCACACTAGACTTGCCTAGTGCGGTTTCACTTGTCATAAAAAAATGTCAAATATGATCAAAGTACTTAAGTAGGAGGATTATAGCCTAGCCCATGCTAAGTTTATTCAAAACACAAATACACAATTTTTTATGCATGTATTTATGTATGAATCGAAAGCAATAAGTTTAGTTGAACTCATAAATTAACAAGCTCTAGATCCGCCTCTGACCTTGAGAATATTAGCCGTCGTGTTTTCGACTTTCCATCCAAATTCAACTCCATTCCTATGTTTGTATCTTTTGCATAATGTTAGATTTCTACTATGGGTTTCAAATAAGAAATCCTGAGTGCAACGATGGGCATGAATTGTCAATGAAAAAAAAGATAAAACAAATATTGAGTTTGAGAAAAAAAAACTAAACAAGATGGAGACATCTTCACTCTCTTTTTTTTTTTTGTTAAACTATTTTAGTTTTTTATGTTACAACCTCAACATAGGTAATATATATAAGAGATAAGTTGAGTATGCATCCATGGAGTGAGAAAATTGGAGTTTAAAAGAAGTAATGTATATGTTCTCTTTTCTTTATTCATGTTTTTCTCACTTTTTATTGAATAAAGTCTGAGGTTCTTTTTATAGGGAACAAAGTGTGAGAGAGTATTAGGATTGCGGTGTAGTGATAATTCTTTTGTTAATCAAATGTTTCAAATTTAAATTTTATTAGGTATGGAGTTTTTTTGTGTGTTAAAGATTGTTTTATCCTCAATCACTATAACATAAGTAACTTTTAGAAGTAACAGATATGCACGATAACAAAGAGTGCAAAAATGTTTACTAGCGCTAAATAATTGTCATTAGATTCAATATCGCTATATGATTTATAGACATTAACAAAGAGTGTCAACGGTCACTAAGAAATATATTTAACGATAATTAAGCTATTATCGTTAGTTAATTGTTATAGATTGATCATTTTTGAGTTTTAGTAATTTTTTCTTACGTGAACTAGAATTTAATCACATTTCGATTCGCGGACCCAAAAGTGTGGTTTGGCAAAAGTAGTGTTTTAATTACTCTTCCAAGATTTTACACTTTACTTGTGTTTGGTTAGTTGCTTTTCTTGTTTAAAAATGCTTTTACCAAAGTGATGTAGCAATGTGTTTCACGTATGTGTTTAGTGTATGGGAAGGAATTGAACTCCAAGGACAAACAAATAAAATAAGCTTAATATATTAATATGTTCTTTTTATTTTATTTTTGAAAATATTTAAAATTTGGCTCCTTTTTTTTAAAAAATTTCTTTTACTTGAATGTGAGACACGTGTCATAGATAAAAAATCATTGACTAGGATCTAATTGATTAGAATAAGATTCTAATTATAATTTAAATAATTATTATTTCTTAAAAAAATAATACAATAATCAGAAGTCATTAAAGTATAATATTTTGTCCATAAAGATATTATAAAAAAATTTCTCTTTTCTAATTGAAGATAACACTAGTAAAAAAAAGATTAGAAAAAGAACTATTTTCTTAATGAAACATTCATTATCACTTATCTAAATCATAATTAAACTCTTATTTTTATTTAATTAAATCTTAACCGTTAATTTTTATCTGTTATGTGTGTCGCATTCAAGAAAGAACTTAGAAAAAATTGAGGAAAGGGAAATGGAGAGGAGTCGGATTCTGATATTTATTTTCTTCAAATTTTAGTGCGTATAAATAAACACTTATTTTTTTATAAAGTTGATCACGTAGACATATTAACATCTTGTACATAATATTCACTGAATATCTCTGCTTTAAAAAATTGAAAATCTTATAACAAGAATTTATTGAAAAAATATTCCATTAATGCTTGCCTTCAACTTTTGATGTTCAAATTATTTAAAAATTTTGATAGATGTGTATCAAATTTTTTAAATATAGTGCAATTTTTAAGGATTCGATATAATCATGATAGCATTTAGGGAGTCCAACCAAATATATCATAGTTATAATATCTGATACAAAATTTGAATTAGTCTTCCACTAGTGAAATTGTAGTTTTTTAAGGAGGTTTTGAATTTGAATTTTAGTCGAAGAAAATTATGTTAAAAGCTAGTTAGCTGGGGGTTAATGAAAAATCGAAAAAAGAAATAACAATTGGTTCATAGTGTGATCACAACAATAGTAATATTAATGTTATAATTGATATTGGTATAACTTTCTTATCTAAATGTAGATAAATGTATGTGATAATTTACTTTATGATAAGTTATAATATTTTTTTTATTAAAAGTAGAATTTTGAAGAATTGGACTTTTTCATTGGCATACGTTTAGAAAATATAGATGAATCGAAAAGTACACAATAAATATTATTGTTAAATATTTATTTATTTATTTAGAAATTATTTTAGATTTTAATATGTGTGGTTTATATTGATATTATTCTTGGTATGTCACTTGGCATAATCTGATTGTAGGATCAGTGATGTTTCTTAGGTGAAGACGACGATGGTATTTGATCGCTTCTACCTTTTTTTTCCTCATGGTGGGAGTTATGTCTTATTATTTGAGTTAATATCTCAAAAGGTCACTCAATTTTGTAAATTTATCTAACAAAATCATTAAATTTTGTTTTGCATCAATAAAATCACTCAATTTAATTTTTTTATTTTATTTTTCTTCGTTATCATTATCGATTCTGAAATCGAAATTAAAAGAGAACCCTAAACCAATTTGCAATCACTTATTATAAGATGAAAACAACAATTTTAATTATGTTTCTGTGCATTCACATTCCCATTAGTACACACACAAAAGTTTGTGATATTTGATAATGAAAGAAAATTTTAAAATAACTGTGATACATTGATTTTTGTTCGAATATTCCTTATACCTACTGAAAAATATTAGTATGGTTTTGGAGAGAATTTTTTTAAAAAAGAAAAATGTATTTAAAGTTAAATTTAAAACAAGTATATGAAAACTAAATTTGTATTTTAATATTTCAAAATTGTAATTAGTTTTAATTATTTTATTTTTATTATTTCAAAATGTATTTAAGTTTGTATTTTTATTATGAAAGTTAAATTTTCTAATAAAATAGTAATTTCCAGCTATTTATTTACAATTTTAATCATGAGTAACACAAAAAATAATTTATTTTGTTATATCAATTTACTTTAGTAATACAAGGTGAGTGATTTTATTGATATAAAGGTCTAAGTTTATTGATACAAAACAAAGTTTAATTACTTTATTAAATAAATTTTCAAAGTTGAGTGACTTTTGGAGATATTAACTCTTATTATTTTGAATCTAGAAATCTCTTAGAAGCTTTTGTTCATGTTTAGATTAGCTCTCTAGAAGGATTCAATGTATTTTTTATATATAAAAATACTTTATTTTGATTAAGTTTGAGTGTTTCAATTTTTTTTTACCCTCCTCCTATGAACTCCCACTCCTTTTGCTCCTTTGTGACTGGAACTCGCAATCTTTGGGCTGAAAGTGAAGGGTGCTTATCATCTGTGCAACTCCCTCTCGGCAAGTGTTTCAATATTTAAATAGGGTGTTTGGCATATATTTTTGTTCACTTCCACATTTCATTTTTTAAATAGGCGTCCGCATTACCCGATGAATTGGATCGTAACAATTTCAATACTATAAGAGGCTAGGAAGCACATAGATATTGGACAACATTAGTGTTTTCCAGCAAGGGTAATTTGGTATTTTCTCTATATGATATCTATGATGATTTTGAGATACTCTTCCGTCTTTTGATGTAATTTCATTAGGGGTTGTTATGTTTCGCCGTCTTTTAATAAATCTTTTCAATAAAGAGGATATCGGGTTTCAAAATTAGGAACTAGTTGTATAAATTATTGAAAACATTGTTATAATGTGAACTGAATTATTTGATTCTAAAAACTACCATTTGTGTTGATTCATGATGTAGAATAATTGATTTCAAATTTTTAATTAACTTGATCAGCAAATGTATCGTCTTTGTTTACCTTTATTAATAGATTATTATAAAGAGATTCCATGGTTTTGATTAAATAGCTAACACTACATTTGCTAAACCACACTTACAATTTTTTTTTTTTAAAAAAAAAGAAAATTGATATATAATAGATTAAGGAATTCAAAGATTTTATTGTGATGTAATGTTATTTTATTCTAGCTTAGAGCAATTAAAGTACCATTGCACTGTCTGTTTAAATTTTGAATTCTTTAAAAATTATAATATCATAAATTGTACAAATGTGCTGAGGTTTAATTGAGATAACAAAGATTAGTAGAGTATATTGTCACTGTTTACTTAGCACTTGTTTGACATTATTTATAAAAACTGTTTATTTTCAAAAATGCTTTTTAAAAAAGTAATTTTGAAGAAAAAAGAACAAGTTATAATTGACTAATTCATTTGAAAAGTACTTTTTATAAGCAAATTTTGTTTGACAAATTCTTTTTTAGGAAAAAGTGCTTTTGAAAATTAAATTACTATTAAGGATAAGTATTAATACAATTTTAATATTAAGATTATTTTATAGAGAGAGACTAAGTTAAATACCAATTACTAAAAATTAAATGAAAATTTTATTTTATTAAACTAAAAAGTTCATATACAAATTCTTAATAAATAATATATATTTTTGGAGAATTGAAATCTTTAATTGTTTTTTTTTCTAATCTTATATAAAATATTGTTGTTACTTTTTACCTTCTTGTTTTCTAATTCCGTAAAATAATACTTAAAAATATTGTTGTTACTTGTTAACTTCTTATTTTCTAGTTCTGTAAAATAATACTTAAAATAATGTGTATATATATTATATATATGGGACATTTTGGTCTCGAAAAGAAAATACTTTTGCACTTCTATTTTTATAAAAAAGAATTATTTTTTTTAGCTTCTTTTGAATAGTAGGAAAATTGCTTCAGCTTCTATTTAAAAGTAGTATAAAACATTTGACTATCCAACTTATAATGACATTGAAAAATTGCTTTAATCTTTTTCTCTTGTAGATTCCATCCAAACCCAACTCCATAGATATGTTCATATTCTTGCGATCAAACGCGAATTCAAAATTTAAAGATAGGGGTGACACTATTCAGAGTTACTTAAGGTAAGGTTAGGAATGGCACAAAGATAAGGTTAGCCTCCAAAAGTTTAAGGCCCCAATAAATTTAAATAGTGAATATATTATTTTATAATTAAAAAAAAAACATCTATTTTTATCAAGAATACTATAGAAAATCGACGCATTTCATTTCAAATCTAATTTGAGGATATTCATTATCCCGGTTGACAAGGCCCTTGTTGAATATAATGTTTTCTCACTTCATCTCGTATTCTAGGGCTATATTTACCAATGGATATTCTTTCTCCAGGATCCGGTTTAAGTGACTGCAAAACAAACTCATCTATAAAACGCAAAAAAATTGTCTCTAAAACCAGCACTTGATTGAG